TCGCCTTGCCTCGCCTTCCTTGCCATCGCGTCGGTGCTCGACGACATTGCGCTACTACCTCCTTAGACCGGCGCCATCCGCTACGGCGCGTAGGGCCGAGCCACCGTCGTCGGTTTGTGGTTTATGGCCATGCGGCCTACCGTCCTGCACACGTTGGCCATTTCCCCATCGCCCTATAGCCATACGCGTTTGTGTACCGATGGACAGCCATGTCCCGCCATGGAGACGTGACGCTAAGCCATGCCGGCCATCCCCTGTTCCTCTACCGCATTGGTCGCCGGTCCCGCGCTTGCAATTCAACCTGGTGGAGCCACCTTGGCCAAATTAACTCCGCCTGCAACTCCGTCATGTAGTCAGCCAACTGCCCGACCCCACCTAGCAGCGAGCCTCGCCATGCCATGCTTCAATTCAGAGTTTTCCTCTCGTCGGGTCGTTAAGACCGCCATGGCACGCATCATAGGCAAGCTCCATATCCAGTGCAGCTCGTGTCAATTCATCGCCGCTAACTTCGCCTCCACCTGCTCGTCACCCTGCGCACCTTTCCCTAATCGCTACCAACGCCTAGCCTCCCCTGATGCAGTCTTGCCACCGTCGTGCGCCTCCGCACCGTCCGTGCGTATGTGGCCAGCTTGGCTCGGGCCACGTCCAGTCGAACCACCACCTCTTCTGGGTCCGTGGTGAGTGTCTGGAGCTCGCTTCACTGTCCTAATTGCCTCGGCGTTGTTGTAACTCACCGGAACATCGCCGTTGCAGTGCAATAGCTTCGCCGCCATGGACCGGCCTCGCTGCGATGTCCCAGCTCATGCTTCCTTCACTCAGTACTTCGCATTCAAGCCTAGTAAGGTATTGGCTCCGTAGATAGGGCGGGGAGGGGCGGGTCTCACCGGCGTAACCATCGGTGTCAGCGCCACCGCACCGGTGCGCGCATGGGAGGGCCCGAGGGTATGGCCGTGGTAAAGGAGAAAAGAGGGAGGGGCGTAGGTGTAAGATAGCAGACTGGTGAAATAGTGCTATTAGTGTTCGCACGATTACCGGGTAGGCCAGGGGTGTTTTTGCATGATGACCGGCGCGCGCGGGCCTCCCCATCGCGGGCCATCGCTGCCCGGCTGGGCCACGTCCCTACGTGGGCTCACGCCATGCGCCGCGCACGCATGGGCGTTGTGCTGGAGTGGGCCGAGCCGCTCGCTCGCGGGCCAAGCGGGTAGGAATCGGTTTTTCATTTTCTAGTGACTTAACAAATATTTATTCAATTTAGTTTTGAGCTAAACTTTGAAAAAATGATAGTAAATGTTGTAGGTATCCAAAAATAGTGAGACAAATTTTACTAGGTTCACAAAAATGCCATCTATCTGTTAGTTTAGTTAGTTTACAGTTAGCAATGCTAATGATAGGTTCATAAATTTGATTTAGAAAGCTTAGTATTACTTAGCTTAATATTTGTATGAATTTTTGTGGTAAATTGATGATAGCTTTAGCCATGAAATTTTTACAGTAAGATCATTAGATTATTATGTACTCACTATAAATTTTGTGGCCCTAGAGTAGGTTGATAAATAGAGTAGCTAGTACCCCTTGTTTTATCATATATAGAGTAAATCGGTATTAAGAGTAAGAATACCTTTAGTTGCTGAGATAATATATGTCATGCTTCATACTTGTTAGTGGTAACAGTAGGTAACTTAGCACCTTAGTCGGTAGGACTAGCTTAGTAGCTTGATAGATGTATTTTATTTTAAGAGCTGTTGTTGCCGTATTACTAAGTGTTGCATCATCATTTTCATGCATGTAGATCATGAGTTGGTAGAGTTCGTGCCCGTGGATGAACAAGACTATGAGGAGGTCATTGAGGAGTACGAGGAGGAGATCCTCGTGTAGGAGGGAGCCCCGGAGCCTTTTGGTGCTGACTTTGTTGACCCACCGCCTGCCCAAGGTAAGCCCCGGTGCATAATCCGTATTTCTAATTATCACTGAATATATATATATATGATGTGCATTTACGTTACAGGCATTTTATAAAAACTACATGCATAAATATATCTACCTATGAGTCCTACTAGTATAGGTCGAGTAGCTGTTATGCTTAGGATTACGGTAGTGTGAGTAACATGTCGTTACTCATAATAGGTGATAAATATGATTACTCATGATAAAATCGTGGAAAGGAAAAGTGGTGACCGGGCAGAGATATGGTTTGGGAACCGGTGGGTGTAAGAGGCTGTGTCTTGTGGCCAACAGGGCATAGCTTGGTTACACTTTTTTCCTGTCTGTGTTGGTTAAGGACCGGTCGTTGCATTGGACGCTAGGCAAGTCACAGACTTATTATCCCGAGCACATACTTGGGTATGGGCGTAGGGAAGGCTTGTTGCTCTCTTGTCGTGGGTTCCGGCTCTTTCCGGACTGACTGATTGGAGACGGGGATAGTGGAGGTCCTTGCACCGTACTAACTCCGGGACTTAGGAGCGGGGGCTTGGAGTGGGGGCTTGGAGTCCAAGTTTGGACGGAGACTTGGACCCCATGACAGGACGGTGATGGGTTGGTCCTTCTTGTGCCTAAGGTACAAGCGAGGCGTGTGTTTTTGGAGTACCCAGCTGGGGGCATTGATTCGTGAATCGCCGGGTGATCCTGGTATGGCTTGTCTAAACTCTAATACCGTAGTAAGAACTGAAAGATGAAATGTGATGAAATAGAGCTGATTGCTCAACTCTTGCTTGAAAGTAGAACCGGTGCTTACATAGAATGGCTAGATAATCAATTAATCATAACTATTAATAATAACATAAATAAGGAATCACTATTAGTATTGCTTTCTGAAAAAAGAAAACCAACAAACCATAAAGCCTTGCATATCCCTTGGAGTTGGAAAAATATTTCCACTAGTCGGATAAGTCTTACGAGTACATTGTGCACTCAGGGTTTATTTACCCCTGTTGCAGGTAATACTTGAGGAGTACCTTTGTGTGGAGGATTCTTCTGGTGGGCACAGACGGATCCTTATTCTTTATCGCTAGATGTTTATTTTTATTCCGCTGCTAAATATTCCGCACTCTGACTTTGGAAATATAATAATGTACTTTTTACGAACTCTGGATGTATGAAATGGATTAAGTATTTAAGTATTGTAACTCGTTCTCATTATTGGATCCTTGGAGAAAAATGTGGATCTTTTGGGCTCTTCCTTGGGGTGTGCCCGACGGATACCGCCCGCTGTACCTTGCTTTCGGGGTCCTCAGTGTCTGGTGGAAGATGAGCACCTTCGTAAGTGCGTTATTTCGGACGGTTTTGCCACAACGCCGCGCACAATAGGGCGCAGGATTGGGGCGGGCGCGACACAGGATGGGGTGCGGCAAGGGATGGCCACGGTGGGCGAGGCAGAGTGGAGCGGCCACGCAGGGGCACATGTCGAGGTTGTGGCGGGCAGTCGCGGCGGGCGTAAGGCGCAGTGGAGGCGGCCTCGACCGCTACTGCAGTTGGGTGAGTGGGGAAATGGCAATCGAGATATTTTTTAGAACATGCACAGTAGAGAGGTGAGTTGGGGGAGAGCGCAGGCCGGTTGCCTGGGCCGCCGGTCCGTTGGCCAAAGGACGTGTCCGGACGGGTTGCCTGCAACGAACGCTCGCGAGTATTATCGTTGTTGTATCCCTGGGGTTAGGAGCAGGGATGGCAACGGATCAGATTTGGATCGGGTGGAGTCTCTATGCACCCAAACCCGAAACCAGAACTCAGAAACCCAAAACCACCCTAAACACCGATTTGGGTGATAATCCATCCCGATAACCAAATCCGCGGACCTGAAACCCGATTGGATTCCTGAAACCCGCTTTGTATGGTGACATAACAAGAGCAATAAGGACTTTTTATAAACATATGCATGATATATATATATATATATATATATATATATATATATATTCACATGTATAAACAAGAGGCAACAGATGGTAAGTAATTTTATAAGTCAACTTAGAATAAATTTAATAGTCTAAGTAAAGTGGTTATTATTGATATATTATAAAATATGAGTTTTAATTTCAAATAATTTATTTTGAGCATCTACGCGTGGAAAACCAAACTCGATAGGTTTCGGGGGCCCTAACTAAAAAACCGTGAGTGAAAAATCCCACCCAAACCTAAAACCGCTAGGACCGAAACCCATGGATATCTGACCCGAAACCACCCAATCGCCGACGTCAGTGGGCTCGGGCGCTCGGCGCTCATTACGCCAGGCAGCTCGGTCTTCCGGCCCCATCGCGGTCGCCACTTCCTTTTCTGGCAGTTGCGGGATCCGGCCGTGCCGTGCGCGTGGGGACTGTCAGCGAGAGCGAGGGGCCCGGGAATGTTCCGTTTCCTGCCGCTGCGGGGCTGCGGCGGCATAGACAGAGAAGATCTGGGAGGAAAGCTAGGGCCGCGCGGGTGCTGGGGACCATGACGTTCATTGTTTGGTGATGAGTTGGTGGGCGCCCGTCGACGGTGGTGGACCGTGGTGGTCCTGTCCGGTGGAGTGGAGGTGGACTCGCCCGCGCGTCGCGTCAGTTACTGCTGCTGCGGGGCGTGTGCGTGTTCGTTCTAGACGGAGGCCGAGTAGAGTCGTCGAGCGAGGACGCGTGACTGCCGTGATTCTTGTTGCCGACTGCGGAGTCTCGCCTCGGTGGCTTCCCTTTTTCTAAGCGCTTTTCCGGCTGCTGATTTGAGACGGTCCGCCTGCTGATCGGTCTCATTACGCTCTGCGTTTGGCCAGGGAAACGCCGCGTGGAAAGTAAAGCGTCTGGGTCTGCCTGTGGTCTAGTTCGAGAGATCGGGGTTACACTCAACACATCACGAGACACAAAATGTAAGCACGGTAGTACTAAGATCTTTTGGAGCGAGAAATGCACTTTCCACTCGTTTCTTGGTACTGTATGCCAATAAAGATCGCAACCGCGCAACGCTCTACCGGCCACCGTCAGAATCCCACCGTGCGCATGCGCGTCGGACAGCCGGGCCACGGGCTACGAGCGGATTGCTCAGACCCCGGCGTCCAGGCGCGCGGCGCCGACCAGTGCGGTTCCCTCGAGGACGCGCTGGACGGCCTCGCTGGCGCAGGCTGCGCGCAGCCGCCGCAGGGCACGCCTGTACAGCGCCGTCACCCACCGCAGGCGCAGCCTGCGGATCAGCGTCGTCCCCAGGAATCTGCGCCGCGGCCTCCTGACGCTCCCCCCGAGCCTGGCCACCGCCATCTTCCTCCTCCTCCTGCTCTTCCCGCTCCCCTGCAACACAACAGGCCGCGGCGCGCGGCGCGCAACGTTGACGGCCATTTCCTGCAGATCCCTCATGATCCTCATCTCCTTTGCACTACCACGGCACGCAAGCTACAGGTATTTAAGGGTGATTTCCTATCGTTTTCTTCTGTTCAATTAGTTTATTAGTACGCGATAATGCTGACTAGGAGTAACAAATCAAAATATGGATCAACGTCGAGGTGGTTGTGACTAGTGAGGTCAGCTGTCCTCTCTACCGCGCATCGCTGCATGAATCATACAAGCACTGATGTAAGACATGTTTCATCTGATCAAAAGTTGTTAATCATCCACCTTCCGCTGGTTACTCCCTTCTAGCAAATTGGAAGTCGTTTTAATTTTGCCCAAAGTCAAACTTCTTTAGCTTAGATCAGATCTAAAAAAAAACAGCAACAACAACTACAACTACAACATCAGACATGATTCACTCTAAAGTTTGTGTTAACATCAGTTTTTTTTTCTCCGAATTGTAAGACAGATGCAAACATTCACGTACATCACCTAGCGTCGGGCAAACACGTCATGATAAGCCTCAGGGCTACTGTATATTTGTATACTATATATAGATATACATATACATATGTTTATCTAATTTCGCATGTTTGAAACAAACGAGGGCACAGTCGACTGATTGGGAGTCACTACTCGAAGAATAGAGCCATTAGATTCCAAAATAAATACAAAAATTGCAATCACTAGCCTAATATTGAGGACTTGAATCTAGGCAGACAGATTGCATCATAAGGAACCAAACCAACTAAGCTAGTTCACGTCATCTACTATATTTGATAGTGTAATTATTCGGTATTATGGATGTTAATATATTTTTTAAAACCTTATCAAATGTAGATAAGTTTTACAACAAAACTAAGGGTGGGCCTAGGCCTAGGGCCTCTAGGGCTACATCCCTAGTCATGGCCCGAGAACTCCCAGTATTCCATGTAATTTTATCCCACAAACAATAGTAGGTCCATCAAGAAATCAACTAGGGCACTTGCTCGGTTGGACGACTGTTGAACTTCCCAACTGGGCACCGTGTCATCACATATGGGAGTCCGCTCTACTCCTCATCCATGCTTGATCGACTACACAACTCCTCGTCCTCATCCATACATGGCCCGACGCCACCTACCACCAGCTGCCGAACAATCGGAGCAGCAAATCCCACATCCTAACGAAGTCGCCATCTGACGGCTGCCTTCTAGTTCGTTGTTTGCCCACTGCCTCGTGCCCCTACTAGATTTGTGGGCCATCACCCGCTCAGCTGCTCACTACAAGGTGCTCGGCTCTACTGCTATGTCTATTGTAAATGTAAGGTCCCGTGAGCACCCAAGAGGAGTGTGAATTGGGTCTCAATTTAAACTACTCAAGAAAAAACAAAAACACTGTAGCAACATGTGCACTTAAGGTTATTTTAGTGTACTCTAACTTAGTCTAACTTACCTTAACCCACAAAGAGTTTTGTAACCTAGAGTCAATTATCAAGTAGCCTATAGCTAATCTTGAAAGGTAAAGGATAAACAAGTTAACCACGCGCGGTAAGAACAAACTTGGTAGGTAAAGAGTTAGCATAGAGAGCTAAGAGAGAACAAACTCCCATGTATGCAACGGTATCCTGTGGTATCGGTTGCCAAATTGCAAACTCTAGTCCACGATGGAGCCCCACCAAAGTTTGCTCCCAATCACCTTGTGTCTACAGGTCACGGTGTTGGATTTGTCACACAAGGCTTCCACCAACCGAAGTCTAGTGCCATAAGTCACAAAGTCTCATCACCACCACTCTTCCAGTCACCATAAAGTCGTGTACACTATGGAGCTTATCCACACTGAGTGTCAGGATCAACGCCCTCTTAAGTGAGTACCCAACATGATAATCCGCTAGGGATTATTAAGTTGGACACATCCCTTACTAGGTCATCCTAGTACACCTCCCATATGATGTACTCGGGCTTTGCCTCATCTAGGATCAGTTCGAGAGAGAGAATACATCACAACAGTGCTTAGATCACATTACAAGTTCAAAGCATTAAAGTTTACAAGTCTTGGTTCGCACACTTAGTTCATCACACGATCACACATCACAATCCACATCAAAGTCTAGCAGAAGTCTTTCAACATAACATAGTTTATGATAACGGATACATGGGTGTGTGTAAGGTCGAGATGGCGGACTAGAGGGGGGTGAAGAGTCCTTTCTAAATTTAACCGCGCTGGCTAACCGAAACAAATGCGGAATTACGGAATTAAAACAATCGGTCTAGCCAAGACTACACCCCTTTATCAAAGTTCACAAGCACCTTATAAAGATCCTAATTAGGCAACAAAGGTACCAGGCTAGCTAGAGCTCATCTATCCAATTCTAGGAGCAAGATCACACAAACCTATGCCACTAGTATTTTGCACACCGGGGAGCTCCTACATAATTCTAGTAAGCAAAAGCACAAAGCTCCTAAGGTCACTAGCAATGCTCAATAACAAGGCAACCAATGCCAAATTAGAGAGCGCAAATACTTCGCTACACAAACTAAGCAATATGACTAACAAGGTTACATAAACCAAATTAGCCACGTAAGGGAGCTACTTCTATGCTATACAAGCAAGAAGGTAACTAGTGAGCTACACAAGCTAACTAATTACAAGAGCAACTACACAAGCATAATGTATATGAAAGTAATTACAAGCTTTGTGTAAGAGGATTGCAAACCAACAGGAAGAACAATGTTGACACGGTGATTTTTCTCCCGAGGTTCACGTGCTTGCCAACACGCTACGTCCCCGTTGTGTCGACCGCTCACTTGGTGGTTCGGTGGCTAATTGGCATCACCCGCCAAGCCCGCACGTCGGGCACCGCAAGAACCTACCCCTAAAGTGAGGGTAGTTCAATGACACGCTCAACTAGAGTTGCTCTTCGTGGCTCCTGTGGGGTGAGCACAATGCCCCTCACAAAGCTCTTCTCCGGAGCACCGCACAAGCTTCTTGCGGGCTTCGACGGAGACCACCACCAAGCCATCTAGGAGGTGGCAACCTCCAAGAGTAACAAGCACCACTGGCTTGCAAGACGACCACCTAGTGCCACTCGATGCAACCTCACGATGCAATCACACGAGAATCGCTCACTCACTCGATCGGATGAACACTATCAAGCTTAAGTGAGTTAGAGGGTTCCCAAGCACTCTCAAGCATGGACACAAAGTCCCCCAAGGTGCTCACCAACAGCCATGGCCGAGACCCTCTTCTATTTATAGCCCCACGGGCTAAAATAGCCATTACCCCTTCACTGGGCGTTTTTCGGGATGACCGGACACGCCGATCGTATCGACCGGACGCACCCTGCCAGCGTTCGGTCGCGCTACGCCATCCATGTGTCGCTCTACGTTCAAACAGAGCCGTCCGTTCTCAACGGTAACTTCGCGCGCCAACGGTTAAGTTGCGACCGGACAAAGCACAGAGAGGATGATTGGACGCTGCTATGCTTGAGTCCGGTCGATTCCAGAGAGCTCCCCAAGCCTCTATTTTGCGATCGGACGTGTTTGCTCCTGTACGACCAGACGTAGACCAGCCAGAGTCCGGTCATTTCCAGAGAACTCCCCGAGCCTCTGAATTGCGACCAGACACGTCCGATCCACCATGACCGGACGTAGACCAGCGTCCGATCAGCTCTGCGCCCGCACGCCAACTCCAGCGTTGCCTACGTCACCATATGTCACACGCGACCAGACGCAGGCCCTATGCGTCCGGTCACTTCTTTGCCCAGCGTCCGGTCGACGATCGATGCCTGCGCGCTCTCTGCTGCCACTGACCGGACGCACTGGTCCAACCGAGGCCAGTGTCCGGTCACTCACAGTGACACCTTCTCGCCTCTATTTCTTCACCGAGTTGATCCATTTCAACTCCAACTTCTTTCTCATTTGCAAATGTGCCAACACTACCAAGTGTACACCACCATGTGTATGTGTGTTAGCATTTTCACAATCATTTTCAAGGAGTTAGCCACTCAACTTGCCACACCACTCGATCCTAGCGACGATGCAAAGTTAGATCACTCGAGTGGCACTAGATGACCGATATGTAAATAAGTTTGCCCCTCTTGATAGTATGGCCATCTATCCTAAATTCCGGTCATCAACTCTCTACACTCCTATGACCGGTGAAATGAAATGCCCTAGGTTATACCTTTACCTTGCGCATTTGATTCCATCTCCTCCATTGTTGATGCAACACATGCACCAACCAATCACCAAATGATATGATCTACTTCATATCATTACGTGACCATATTGGTTCATCGATCTTGACTTCACTTGCTTTTCACCGTTGCCTTCGTCCATCGACGCCAAGTCTTGCTCAAGCTTCACCGCCATGCTGTCCATCGCTCCAAAGCCTCCAACTTGCCCTTCACGCTTGCAACTGGTCCATCAAGCCAAGTCATGTCTTGATCTTCTCCACCTTGATCACATGACTCAATGTCATGTCTCATGTGCAATGAGTTCCTTCAACATCACATGTGTGAGCTTTACAACATCTCTGAGCCATTTCCACCTTCATGGCATATGTTGCTCACACATATGTATCTGTGGACTAATCACCTGTGTATCTCATATAAACACAATTAGTCCACCTAGGTTGTCACTCAATTACTAAAACCACACAAGGACCTTTCAGTGTGCCACATCCATGTATCTATGGGACACGAGATCCTTCACCACTCCTTATCCGACGAGGGTTCGGGAGCATAGAAGAATCCATGGACAGGAGCTATGGTACCTGCAAAACTTAAGATCACACAAGGTGAGTACTCAATTGTACTTCGCAGGACTTACCCAATATAGTAAACAAGGATTATGCATTTGGGTAGTAGCAAAGAATGCATATCTTTGCATAAAAGCATTTGTACAACAAAGTAAAGGTGATCTATGATGTAGCAGAATTAAGCATAGCATAGGTAATCAAGTTAAGCATTAGCAAAGTGGAACACGATCTTCCACGAGTCCTGACTCCAATCCCAACACTAGTCTGTATCTAGAAGTAGAACTTATTGCTTTCAA